CTGGATCTTACAATCTCGCAGTGCAGCCTCTGCCACTCCAAGTCCTATTTGCTGGCAACCATGCCCTTCACTTGCAAGGAAGGTGTCAGACTGGTTGGTCTGGGGGGTAAGCTCAAGCGCCCCACCCACATCGTTAGGCATGTCCCTGTCCATCCCTACAGATTCCTCTGTCAGCGAATCCTCTGGGAGGAAACATTATGACAGTCAAGATACATTTCCATAGACGCTGAATATATTCAGAACAATGACTAATATACCAATTAAAAGGTCATATTTCATTATTAATATTATTTCATTATTAACATTATTTCCAAGTATTCCACTACCTGTCTGGTAGACATGGTATGGATTCCTCTGGCAGCCAAGACTGGAAGAGCTGAAAGATTTAATAATGAACAAATTAATAAGGAAAAACATTGCAAGAAGTAAGACTCCTATCAGCACAATGAAAATTCGCTTTATAAACAGAATGGTGTACATAACGCGATTTAGAGCTGCAACGGCTAATCGATAACAGACAATATTCGAGAATGAAAACAGCAGATGACAAATTACATCACCGATTGCTTTCATTTTTGTAGTCTGTGGCGTAAATTGTGAAATAATGACATCACTCATAGCAAAGATAATGCTGGTGTACTAAGCCTCGTTCATACTTCAAATCCCTGAATGCCTTTATAATCTGCGCAAGGTTGTGCATGCAGACTCATGTACATACATTTGTCACGGTCAGAGCATGTGTACAGCAATATTCCACCAGACCAGCAGATGTATTAAAATAAAACACAAATAATGAAAACGGGCGAACTTTCATGAACAGTTTTAAAGTTACTAGTCTTCGGTGGCATTATGGTAATGCAGTATACTGTGTTATTTTGAACAATAAGTCCCAGCCGTTCGCCGCTCAGAGAATTTTATCGTCAAGAGTTCAATATCCCAAAACAGCTTTTCTTTTGAAAATACCATCAAAATACCATATACCACAGTATAAAGCAAAACCATTGGTAACCTTAATACGGCAGAGACAGCAGCTCTTTGTTTCTATGCCACTCTGTCACTTCAGAGATTCTCCATACTGTGTAAAGGTTTTATTACAACTTTAACTTGAAAAATACCTTTTGTACGGAAGTAAATCTGTCTCATCACAATTTGAATTTTATACGCCACTGAAATTCTAATATTGAATATTGGAAATATGCGTCTGATTTTTTTTGCCTCTGAATTACAGTCTTCAAACTTTCTATAATGCAATTTCACTGCTATTTTTCCATGTTCACAAATTCATGATAAAACAAATTCAGGGTTTAAAGATAAAAATTACAAAAAATTCAAGTTTCAAAAATTCAAAGAGAACTTCTCAAAGTTGCTCCAATTCGTGGTCTGAATTCATGCAAAAATACGAGGTTAAAAATACAAGTTATACATCCGGGATACCAAGGCTAAGCAATCGAATCTGTGGCTGCGTTCGACTTGGGCTTAGGTCTGTCTGCAGCTGACGTGACGTGGAGTGAGATCTGTTGACGGCTGCAGGGGTGGAGTATAAACTGACTGCAGCCAAGTCGGACAACTTCTACTCCTCATAGTTTGCGAGATCTGACTGCAATGGCCGCACTGCCAGAAGGGTGTAGATAAATCTATACAAATATCATCTGCATGCACATTACTTCTTTTACAATATGCATATTTCCAATGCATAAACATTCAATGTTAGAATTTCAGTGGCATATAAAATTCAAATTGTGATGAGACAGATTTACTTCCATACTTTTGATGTTAAAGCTTTGATTTGCACTTTTTTTTATTAAAAAGCCTGTGTGTTGGCCCAACTAATCCCTTAGTCAATTCCTTGATCACAGGATTAATCTATCCATCTACCCATGCATCCATCCATCCATTTTCTGAAACCACTTCTCCTATTCAGGGTTGCGGGGGGTCTGGAGCCAATCCCAGAGGGTACAGGCACAAGGCAGGGAACAACCCAGGATGGGGCACCAACCCATCGCAGGGCACACTCACACACCATTCATTCACACATGCACACCTATGGGCAATTTGGTAACTCCAATTAGCCTCAGCATGTTTTTGGACTGTGGAGGGAAACTGGAGTACCCGGAGGAAACCTCACGATGACATGGGGAGAACATGCCAACTCCACACATGGAACCCAAGTCCCAGAAGTGTGAGGTGAAAGTGCTAACTACTGTGCCGTCCCCACAGGATTAAATCGGTCATCAAAATAAGAATTTTTCACAGGCATAATGAGATTGGAAAAGGGATTACTGTAATTTATAATAGTAAGACTAAAGTTCTACAGAGAATAAATAAAGCAAAAGACTCACGAGAGGGGCGGTGAACCATTATTTACAGGGTTTGCAGAGCCAGTGGTTGATGTGATGGCTTTCTCAAGCAAGTTCTTCCAGCTGCAAATGAGTCGTGAGAGAAACCATTCTTCTAAATCAGTAATGCTCACTGGAATGAGANACATGCACACCTATGGGCAATTTGGTAACTCCAATTAGCCTCAGCATGTTTTTGGACTGTGGAGGGAAACTGGAGTACCCGGAGGAAACCTCACGATGACATGGGGAGAACATGCCAACTCCACACATGGAACCCAAGTCCCAGAAGTGTGAGGTGAAAGTGCTAACTACTGTGCCGTCCCCACAGGATTAAATTGGTCATCAAAATAAGAATTTTTCACAGGCATAATGAGATTGGTAAAGGGATTACTGTAATTTATAATAGTAACACTAAAGTTCTACAGAGAATAAATAAAGCAAAAGACTCACGAGAGGGGCGGTGAACCATTATTTACAGGGTTTGTAGAGCCAGTGGTTGATGTGATGGCTTTCTCAAGCAAGTTCTTCCAGCTGCAAATGAGTCGTGAGAGAAACCATTCTTCTAAATCAGTAATGCTCACTGGAATGAGAACATGTAAGCAAAATCCCCGCAAAGCAAGGTCAAGTGTAACTGCATTCAAGTTTGCAAACAGAAAAAGCTTTCACTCGGGTGCTGCAGGACATTTATCCTCTAAACACTCAGGAAGTACAGGTAGTCCCTGGGTTAAGAACATCTGACTTATGGACAACTCAGTTGTGAAAAAATTGCCATAAAACTTATTGTATGACAAATTTGAGCTATACAATAGCTCGAAATAATGACCGCATGCACTATTCTGACACTCATGAAAACACTGCGTGGCTTGAGTGTTTTGTCGGCTTGAGGTACACTACTGTACTTTTACTCTTATGCAGTGTATTATTATTGTTCTGAATTACCTACAAATTTGACTTAAAGGGAACTTAAGACTTAGGGAATGGATCTTGTTCGTAACCTGGGGACTGTCAGTACAGGGTCATGGGGGGTCTGGAGTCTATCCACGGCTAAATACAGCAGAATACAGCAATTTTGGACAGGATGCCCCACACACACACAAACAGACAGTTTAGAGAAACTAATTCACATAACTGAATGTGTTTGGAAACCCAGGCAATGAACATGCAAACACCAAACAGTTGGCCATTGAACCACCATACACTCGTACACATGACAAACACCCAGAAACAGAGGAGCACATATTTAACAGGTACTGACAGGTTCTTCTCCGACGAGGTTCCTGCCACCAGCTCGTAGATCTGTCTCTCTGAGGTACTAATGACGTACAGGGCCTTGTTGTCTAAAGGAATAGAGGCCGAGCTGTCAGTTACCTACCATCCAGCTACAAAACTGCAAACGATGACAGGTCATCAATAATTGATCAAGAGAGTCATTACAACAAACTCACCAGTGGCCACTGAGCGCACAAGCAAAGAATCCAGTCGCACCACAGGGCAAAAGGAAGTTTTGAGTTCATTGCTGCCCCCAACACCACCTCCTAGTGAGCGGGAGGGACATCGCAACACCAGACGATCATCTGGTCCTCTCTGGAGCAGAACCAGCAGGTCTGACAACAGCAGCGCCTGCACCTCTGGGATGAAAATCCACAATGGAATTAATACAAACACAAAACCCAGATCAGAAAACACAAGCACTGCACTGAAACATCAATGTCAGTACAGATACCTGAAGCTGAGGTCTCACCTATTGCTTTCTCCTTACTGACCCTCCAGGTGAGAGCTCCCTCATGAATCATTCTCTTTGTGCTCAGGTCCAGATTCTAAACACCAGAACGAAACGGCACATTAATGTGATCATCAGGCAAGACAGCCACCTGCACACAGGCCTCAAACAAGGAAGAACAGCGATACCTTGAACTGTGTCGCTACAGGATTGGCTTGCCTCTCGAGGGGCGTGGCGTCAAGCCGGCGCTGGTACTGGCTGAGCCGCTTCCTGTGCTCCGTCTCTCTGACCACCTCGTTCACGGCCTGTAGGATCCCACGGCAGCATACTTGTGCTCGCTGGAGCAATGGGAATTCTGAGGAAACGGCTGGTGCACGGAAGGAGGAGCATGAGGCTTTACTGATCACATTTAGGGTGCTGTTCATGACCTCATCCCATCCATCACCT